ACACTATGTACAGCATATTGCCATGTATGAACTTTAGTAGCTAGATTTTTTATAATAAGATTCGATTTTAGATGTCTGAATCTCACGNCTTGTTGCACAAACATAATGACACCTATGAAGAAGCTCTATGAGCAAGAACTTCCTTGGTTTTTGTCTGGCTGCTACTCTCTCGCCAGTACCTACCCGAGCAACTAGCTATCTTGCATATCTATCTAGCTAACAAACTACCTGTTGAATGCGTGCTATTAACTGAAGTTTATATGGTATTACGGTGGAACCTTAATGTTTTATCGGACTGTTATTGATAGTGAAGTTTATGAGAAATATTTTTTAAATTTAGTTATTTCTGTTAATTTTAAAGATAACGGTAATATGTAGTAAAGTTTTTTCGACGTAAACGCAAAATTCTAAAATTTAAAAATATGAAGTTTAAATATTTGTCCGCAATAATTTTGCTTCTGAGCTTTCTCATGGCACTTGAATGTAGAGTTTGAAACTTTTTGTCGTACAAATAACTTAACAGTCGAAATAATTTAAAATTTTTTTTATTATTCATCAGCGGTGTACGTAAATGTGGCGTTGAAGAAACCTGCCTTCATCTCCTCTCTTTACTCACCTTACATAGCTGAATACGGAGTTGATGGCGATAACGCCAGCCTAATCAACTTTGTTCGTTCTAATGGATCTTCTTTTCAATATTCAGGATGGTTTGTGGTTGATCTCGTGAATGCGTACCAGGCCAAGTTTGTTACGGTCTTCAACAGGGCGGATCAGGCTTGTACCAGCCTTGCATTTTGCTGTGAGTTTGCTTTAAGTTTAAAATCACGTAAATATTTAAATAATTGAAATAAAATTTGAAATCGATTGAAACGTTTTAGATAAACGTATGAACTACTTCATCGTCGGACTGACAAATTATTTTGATGCAGCTGTTAACTCGACAGCAACAATTCGAGGAAATTATGACCTGTGTGGGCAGTGGCCGGTAGAAGTTACAACAGCTGGTCAAGTAATGAGTGTGAACTGCGTTGACCAAGAAAAATTTTACAGATTCGTTATTATACAGCAATCGTTGCAGGTCGAGCAATATGTGACAGATTTAGTGCATAAAGCTGTTCAATTCGTCGAAATGGAAGTTTATACCAATAGTTGGTTTTGTTTCCAACACTTTGAAAGAAGCTATTTTTCATATAAAAAATGAAATAAAATACTTGTAACGTATTGAAAAATTTGCAGAAAGTTTTTTGCAATATGAAAATGTGGCACTCAAGAAGCCTGCCTATATGAGCACACCTGATTCAACGTACATCGCAAACAATTGTGTTGACGGCAGCAAAGGAAATAACAATTTATGTAAATTGACGACCGAAACAACACCCTTTAAGAACTGGTTCATAGTTGATTTGACGAGAAATTATCAAGTTTTGTACGCTGTTTTATACACATTTGATCTTCAAGGTTTGTAAAATAAATGTGCTGTTGGCAACTGTTGATAATTAATTTTTAGTTAATGTCATATATTTAAAGGCATGGAAGGCTTCATTGTTGGGTTATCGAACACGGTGAATCAAAACTCAGATGGCGCGATACG